TCATTGTTTTACAGAGTTATGGCCCTTGCTCCCTGCTTTACACTTTAGTGCATACTGCGTGAAATGGGGACAAGTTTTTTCAGAAACTTCTGAAAGTTTGCATGCTAATCTAAAAGATACTTGTCAAGACTGAGTTTGAAAATTGATCCCATAAATTATTTTTTTACAGAGTTACAGTCCTTGATCCATGTTATTTTTACTTGGTGCATCGTGTCTGCAATGGGGACAAGTTTACTCAGAAACTACTGAAGTTACTTGAGTGAAAGTGTGCATGCAAATTGAAGAGATACTTGTCAAGACTGAGTTTGAAAATTGATCCCATAAATTATTTTTTTACAGAGTTACAGCCCTTGATCCATGTTATTTTTACTAGGTGCATCGTGTCTGCAATGGGGACAAGGTTGGTCAGAAACTACTGAAGTTTGCTTATATTAGAAATACTTATCAAGACTGAGTCATTTTTTCCAGAGTAGTGGCCTTTTGTGTGTATTAATTTCACATGGAATCAATTTTTCTGATGACATAAAGCGGTCCAAGTGCCTGTCTCTTCCTTAGGCTTTATAGGACTCTTTATTATAGTTTATATTCACTATATGAACAAACATAATTCTAATGTGCCCCATGGAGGGGAATAGTGATGACGCTGTTTTCTTGTTTAACATGTATTGTGTAAATCTGATGGGGCCTAATGGTGGAGCGTCCGCCCAGAGAGCGGAAGGTCCGGGGTTCAATCCCTGGTCGTGTCATAGCAAAAGGCGTTAAAAGATAGTACTTGTTGTTACCCTGTCTGGTACTCGGCATTAAGGGTCTAAAACAAGGACTGGTTGGCTCGGAGTCACAATACTGTGCCTGGGTGGGGTATTCATGTGGCATGGTATCTCAGTAGGCTAGCACTATAAATTGGCATCAGTCCGAACTAGTACAAGCAGCCACACACACACACTTGCATGCACGTCGCTATATAACATGCACGTCGCTATATAAGTGCAATAATCTTGGACGCGACTTTTAATCCCAAGCAGCAAGTATGTGATGCACAAAGCTGAAGTATCGTGTGAATGATAATAGATCATCTTCCTGAGGCAAGGGAGTTAACTGACTATAAAAGTCCAGTTTCCACCCTTGCCCAACTAGACTGAAATTTCTGGGCTTGATCATAGTGCCACCAGTGGCTGTTTAGAGTTATGTCCTTTCAATATCCCTCCTATTGACCAATCAGATTCCACCTCTCATATTACTTGCATTTGCTTCAAACAAAATGGCAGTATCCAGTCAAGACGAGTTAATCGATAATCAATATCTATATTGTGATAAAATGGGTCTTACTGTGCAAAGAGCATCAAATCGTGTGAGCACCTTTATCAAAAACACGAAAAGATTTGGAAAAAAACTGTTGATGACGAGTTGGCGGTGCACATGCTTTGCAAGTCCAGCCAAAATATGAGTCCATAATACCAGCCTAGTTCAGGAAGGGTGGAAGCTGGACTGTTATAGTCAGTTAACTCCCTTGCCTCAGGAAGATGGTAATAGATGTGGGAAGATGGTAAAAGATGTGAGAAAATAAACATGTTCAAGGTAGTTCAAGGAATCAGGAGTGGTACCTGTGCGAATCACAATGTTGCAAAAATAAGTGGTTGAATTTGCTAGAATTTATTGCACCAAGTTTGCTTCACCTCACTGTTGATCTTCAGTCACCATAAGGTTGAAGCTGAAATAAAGCAGTGTTCCTGTTTACCAGTAATTACCAGTTTTTTTACCAGTAAAATTAGACTTGGACCGGTAATTCATGTCACTGCAAGTTCCTCTGGCCCGGCAAATAATGTACCTAATGAATCCTTTTTATTGAACAAAACATCGGCAATATTTATATAAGTATAGTTTTCGAACGAAGTCAGCTTGTCTGTTGCCATCCTTGTTCCCCTTGTCTACTTTTAGTGCAGGGACATGACATTTTGCATTGCTTCAAGGTTAAATATATATTTGTAGTGATTTTGTCTTGAAATATTAAAAAATTAGAGAAATTGTGACTGAACTTTGTGTGAATGATGTGTAGATCTAACTAAGTTACCTCAGAGATGATTTGATTGCATTGAACATAATGTTGAAAGAATTAAACCAGGTAATTTTCATACTGTTTTTATTTGTTGAAAGTTGGGACTGACAAAAATTAGGGCGAACTGGTAATTCTTAGAGTTTCAGAAGCCAGCGGGAACGCTGTATAATATTTCTTTACACAGGTGGGGTACAGAGATTTGTTACTGTATTTTCAAACCTTACCTTGATGACTGTCATATCAGATTACTAGACTAGACGCAGTCACAGGCCCAGATCACATTACATCACCTTGATCATGATAATACTGATTGTATACCACGTCTATCATCTCTATAATTGTCCCCTAATGATGGTCACAGGGATGTGTATATATTTGTTGCTGAGGCAGTGATCTGTACATGGATACAAGCTATTTAAACTATTCCTATGTTTCACAGGCTTAGGCCTTACTTCACACGTTTTATTAACCAGGCTTTGAAATTAACAAGTCTGCTAGTTTAAGACGAGTAAAGTTCTTGAGAACTAGTGACATTTCCTTGTCGACTATCACTTGTATCATTAGGTTGATCGTGTAGCAGATCTGTAGCAGATCATTTTTGTGGACCAGCATTAAAGTCATAGAGTCCTTGTCATTATTCTGGTATTAAAAGTTCAAACTTTAAGGGGTCCCTAGTAACCATGGTAACAGGAGAAGGAGAACCTCAAGGATCCCAGGCCTCCCTTACCGTCAAAAACTGCAGAAGGTTACGTTAGGTTTCACTTTTGGAAACTGTTAGACTAAAAGCGAAAATATATTTGATTTTGGTTTGCTGCCATGTACAGTGCCCACCCCGACCTACTTTACAGCTAGGGGGATGGGGTAGTCTGGGGGTTAAACGTGGCACTTGTCACACCGAAGGCCCGGGTTGGATTCCCCACATGGTTACAATGTTTGAGCCCATCTTGCTTGGTTCCTTTGCCTTCCGCTTTGAACAGAGTGTGATAGTACAGGATGTTTGCTAATTCTCACTTGTTCACTTGCTTGCTCCCTCTGTCACTCACTCACTCACTCTCCTTCTCTTCATCACTCACTCTCCTTCTCTTCATCACTCACTCACTCACTCACACACTCACTCTCCTTCTCTTCATCACTCACTCACTCACTCACACACTCACTCTCCTTCTCTTCATCACTCACTCACTCACTCACACACTCACTCTCCTTCTCTTCATCACTCACTCACTCTCCTCTTCATCACTCACTCACTCACTCTTCTCTTCATCACTCACTCACTCATTCTCCTTTTCTTCATCACTCTCACTCACATACTCACTCTCCTTCTCTTCATCACTCACTCACTCACTCTCCTCTTCATCACTCACTCACTCACTCTCCTCTTCATCACTCACTCACTCACTCACTCTCCTCTTCATCACGCACTCACTCTCCTCTTCATCACTCTCACTCACTCACTCACTCTCCTCTTCATCACTCACTCACTCTCCTCTTCATCACTCACTCACTCACTCACTCACTCTCCTCTTCATCACTCACTCACTCTCCTCTTCATCACTCACTCACTCACTCACTCTCCTCTTCATCACTCACTCACTCTCCTCTTCATCACTCACTCACTCTCCTCTTCATCACTCACTCACTCACTCACTCACTCTCCTCTTCATCACTCACTCACTCTCCTCTTCATCACTCACTCACTCACTCACTCACTCTCCTCTTCATCACTCACTCACTCTCCTCTTCATCACTCACTCACTCACTCACTCACTCACTCACTCTCCTCTTCATCACTCACTCACTCACTCACTCACTCACTCACTCACTCACTCTCCTCTTCATCACTCACTCACTCACTCTCCTCTTCATCACTCACTCTCCTCTTCATCACTCACTCACTCACTCTCCTCTTCATCACTCACTCACTCTCCTCTTCATCACTCACTCACTCTCCTCTTCATCAATCACTCACTCACTCACTCACTCACTCTCCTCTTCATCACTCACTCACTCACTCACTCACTCACTCACTCTCCTCTTCATGGGGCGGTCGGGTAGTCTAGTGGTCAAAGCGTTCGCTCGTCACGTCGAAGACCCGGGTTCGATTCCCGACATGGGTACAATGTGTGAAGCCCATTTCTGGTGTCCCCCGCTGTGATATTGCTGGAATATTGCAAAAAGCGGCGTAAAACCATACTCACTCACTCACTCACTCTCCTCTTCATCACTCACTCACTCTCCTCTTCATCACTCACTCACTCTCCTTCTCTTCATTACTCACTCACTCACTCTCCTTCTCTTCATCACTCACTCACTCACTCACTCACTCCTAAGGCAAAAAAAGAAAATGACTTGTGTTTCAACTAACCAAACCAACGCAACGTTTCAATTGCTACCCGGATGTTTTTATCAAAGTCAAGAAACCCTTAGTTATTAAAATTTGGAACAAAATCATTGTTAATTTAGCTGTTTTGACCTACAAATTCAAGACATTGCATTTGACATCAGTTCTAAGCAAGCCATAGTGTTTACCATCATTACCACAAAATATTAAAGAAAAAAACAACCCCACCCACCGACCACACCTTTTGGATCCATTTTACCTGAAGCACAAGCATTTTTATATTTGGCCTAACATATGACTAAATACTCAGTGGCTTAAACAGTATGGGGATTAATTGTTTGATAGGCATTACTTACAAGTTGACGGATGACAAAGTAGACACAATTTATGGATAACAACTGTTATTGATACTGCATGTACAGTAATTAAAAAAGCTGTTATCTATAAATTGGGTCCACTTGTTTCAGGATTCCTGTGCAAGAATGTATCTATTCACGTAACAAGATTGTAACAAGTACTGTCTGGCTTGTCACTATCTGTTGTGAGGAAGGTTTCACTTACCCCCAGCGGTATATCTGTCATATCAAACAGGCAGTTATCACACACCAGGTGTGACCACACTGGTCAACGCTGAACACCACAAGGCTGAGTGTCCTTGGACTGGCTGTATGCACACAGATGACCTTGGACAGGATGTAGTTGTGAGATATAGTAGTTTCAGGATATGGACGGGTTTGTGACATTAATTTTTATTTATGAATTTATTTTTCCATGCAGTCATATCTTCATGTATTGTTTCATAATTGTTTTATGTAGTTATTGATTAATTGATGGCATGATGGATCCAGTGTCCGCGGACACCGCAATTCAATGTGTAGTGTTGCACTCACTTTAGGAAATCTATCATACTAGTTTAAATCTCAGATTCTCACTCACTCACTCACTCACTCACTCACTCACTCTTTTAGGAAATCTATTGTATTGCTTTGAATCTCAGATTCTCTCACTCACTCACTCACTCACTCACTCACTCACTCACTCATACAAGTATTTTGTCAGAACTGGTATTTCTTTAATGTAGTCATCCATCAATTACTTGTCATTTTATCAGTTCCACATGCTTGTGAGGACCGATTAAAGTGAGTTGTGTTTGATTCTGCTTTGAAGAGTATTCAGTTATGTGTAGGGTTGGCATATTGGCACATACATCGTATTGCACTATAGCGCAATACGGAGAGCTGTATTGCGATACATATTGGGGCCAAAAAATATCCAGACTTCAGATTGCGATTCAGATAAACGAGACTGTCATCAATATGGAATGTTATGTAACAGTGTGAAGTGTGTGCTGTTTACATGTTTTAGATAGGAACCCTGTCCATCGAAATGCCTCAAGATAGTAGATATAATTTATACAATTATATATAATTCTTTTGTGACAGTATTGGAAAAAAATAAAAAACACAAGGGTTGTATTCCGATACGTATATTGCTGACGGCCGTATTGCAATATACCGGTATACCAGTAACATTGCACACCTCTAATGGTGTCAGCTTGAAGTGGGTTAAAGGTTGAGAAATATTGTAGATGTCAACCACTGTCCAGACAGATATATAGATATAGATATAGATATAGATATAGATTAGGGCTGGGACGAGTCCAAATTTACTACCCGGGTACCCACCACCCTATTACCCGGCCCTACCCGGGTACCCGCTGTAGATATTTAGAGATAGGTACAAACTATCCGATTTGGAAAAGTTTGACCTCAGCCCTGGCAAAATGTATTTAGATAGATCTAGATCTACACGTATAAAACGATCTGGTCATGCATACACTGAAGTTTACTGCATGAAGTTTTATCTTTATTCCAACATATAAAAGTCAGAAGGAATGGGTGCATTGTCAGAAAGAAATTGGAACATTAGTGACTTATAGCGTAACCATAGAGTTTTAGATAATTTTTGTTATTAAACAATATACCGAGTGACTAACCACGGGTCCGGGTAGTCCTGTGGGTATCCGGGTCCTACTCAGGAACCACCCGACCCGGGTACCCGAGTTACCCGTCCCAGCCGTTATATAGATATTTGTCTTTGTGCTGGCAAACCTACGTCCCTGATATGGAGTTTGAACCCACGATCAGTGGATTCTTACACAACTAAGACCGCAAGGACCATCTTCCTGAGGCAAGAGAGTTAACTGACTATAAAAGTCCAGTTTCCACCCTTGCCGAACTAGGCTGGTATTATGGAGTTACAATTTGGCTGGACTAATGAGTCTATGCATAGTCCAATCAAAATCGCGCTCCGAAATCGAAATCCGGTTTATACACTGTCATGCAGATTTCGGTCGACTGCAGGATTTGCAAAGCATGTGCAGCGCTAACTCGTTGTCAGCAGGTATTTTCCAAATCTTTTTTCATGTTTTTAATCAAGGTGCTCACATGGTTTGATGCATTTTGCTATGTAAGACCCGTTTTATCACAATATAGATCTTGATTGTCGATCAGATCGAACTGACCGGGTGCCACCATTTTGTTTGAGGCAAACGCAAGTGATACAAGACGTGGAATCTGATTGGTCCATAGGAGAGCCTTAGAAGGGACATAACTGGTAATAGCCACTGGTTGCACTACGATAGACCCCAGTAATTCCAGCCTAGTTCGGCAAGGGTGGAAACTGGACTTATAAAGTCAGTTAACTCTCTTGCCTCGGGAAGATGGCAAGGATGGGTACAGAGATTTGAAAAGGGAGGGGTAGAAAATATCTAAATCCTCTCACTCTCAGCGTGTGTGTTGGGAATTTTCTACAACATACTACTTGGTATGGTCTATTTTTTATTTCCAGGCCACGGTGAACATCTGGATGATAATCTGCAGAATGAAGACACTCACTCACTCACTCATTCACTCACTCACTCACAGTGTGCATCTCAGCTGTGACAACACTCACTCACTCTTCACCTCTGTTTCAGGCAGACATGTGCATCTCAGCTGTGACAACACTCACTCACTCACTCACTCTTCACCTCTGTTTCAGGCAGACATGTGCATCTCAGCTGTGACAACACTCACTCACTCACTCTTCACCTCTGTTTCAGGGCAGACTTTGTGCATCTCAGCTGTGACAACACTCACTCACTCACTCATTCTTCACGTCTGTTTCAGGTCAGACTGTGTGCATCTCAGCTGTGAATACACTCACTCACTCACTCACTCACTCCTCACCTCTGTTTCAGGGCAGACATGTGCATCTTAGCTGTGACAACACTCACTCACTCACTCACTCACTCACTCCTCACCTCTGTTTCAGAGCAGACATGTGCATCTTAGCTGTGACAACACTCACTCACTCACTCACTCACTCTTCACCTCTGTTTCAGGGCAGACATGTGCATCTCAGCTGTGACAACACTCACTCACTCACTCACTCACTCACTCTTCACCTCTGTTTCAGGGCAGACTGTGTGCATCTCAGCTGTGACAACACTCACTCACTCATTCTTCACCTCTGTTTCAGGTCAGACTGTGTGCATCTCAGCTGTGAAAACACTCACTCACTCACTCACTCCTCACCTCTGTTTCAGGGCAGACATGTGCATCTTAGCTGTGACAACACTCACTCACTCACTCACTCACTCACTCACTCACTCACTCACTCACTCATTCCTCACCTCTGTTTCAGGGCGGACAGTGTGCATCTGAGCTGTGAAAACACTCACTCACCCATTCCTCACCTCTGTTTCAGGGCAGACAGTGTGCATCTGAGCTGTGACAACACTCACTCACTCACCCATTCCTCACCTGTGTTTCAGGGCAGACAGTGTGCATCTGAGCTGTGAGCAGGCCCATGAACTGATCAGTGTCCTGGAGTCCACAAGGGAGATAATCCTGAATTACATTGACAATGTTGAGGTGTGTATCCATAATGTCTACAATTACCGTTGTAAAGTACCCGTGTAGGTCCGGGGTAGAACAGGTCTTCAGCAACCCATGCTTGTCATAAAAGGCGACTAGCGGGATCGGGTGGTCAGGCTCGCTGACTTGGTTGATGCATGTCATCGATCCCAATTGCGTGGATTGATTCTCATGATGTCAGTCACTTGATTGTCTGGTCCAGACTCGATTATTTGCAGACTGCCGTCATATTGCTAGAATATTGAGGATATTTGTGTTCTCTTGACAAAAAACAAGTTTGGATGCTGGATTCATCACAGGGGTCAACTGTTAATAAACTGTTTGAATTATCATGACATTGGATAGTTAAATAGTTCTTGTTATGAAAATGTCTGTAGAGATTTTGTCTTTTATTAATGCAAACAATTAACATTTAAAATCGATTTTCTAATGGAGTGTGTATTCCACTGTATCATGGCATGATAGCATCTCAGAGTGAGTGAGTGAGTATGGTTTTACGCCCCATTTAGCAATATTCTAGCAATATCATGCCGGGGGACACCAGAAATGGTCATCATACATTGTACCCATGTGGGAATTCGAGCAAACGTTTATACATCTAGGCTGCTCCACCCCAACCCTACCCCCACCCACATCCACATCCCCACCCACCCACATCCCCACCCCGACCCGTCCCACCCACCCCACCATCCCCACATATGGAGAGAGTGCTATGGAAACCTACTGATAACTTTTTCATTTCACAATGTTGATGAATGCCGTTTATTCCAAATTCAATATCTGGCCTTCAAATACTCAATAACACCTGCAAAATCTGAAAACACATATCTTCCATTGTCTTCTGCATGAGATACAAATATATTATGCTACACAAAGTTAATTATGCCCAAGTTGATTTGTAAGCTAATAAACCTTAAACTATGTAGTAGGTGAGGTGAAATGGGGTTTAACATCGTGTCCAAGATTATTGCACTTATAGTGTGTGTGTGTGTGTGTGTGTGTGTGTGTGTGTGTGTGTGTGTGTGAGTGAGTGTGTACACTAGTCCGGACTGATGCCGATTTACAGTGCTTGCCCACTGAGATACAGTATACTCACTTTGAGGTGACCAGGCCTTGTTTTAGCCCCTTAATGCTGAACGCTAGACGGGGTAACAACAAGTACCATCTCTTCGCGGCAGGGGATCGAACCCTGGACCTTCTGCTCTCCAGGTGGACGCTCTACCACTTGACCACGGAGGCGGTTTAAACTACATAGTAAACCAAGCGTTGTCATTGGTCAGTTCTTGATTCTGCATCACATGTCTCTGGATGTTACAGGAATCTCAGCCCCACATCGCGAGAACGAGTCAAGGATGTAATGGCAGTCACTGTCCCCCGTGTCTTCGGACACTCAAGCAGAAAGTTTTCCCCAAGATCTCGAAAAACATCACAGTTGTAACCATTGTCCTCCAGGTAAGAAACAAGCTTCGATGTTTATGTTTAGTGGTACAGCCGAAATACTGTTCAAAGCGGTGTTAAACTTATTGGTCGGAGCACATACAAGGATTTATTTATATATTTAAACATACCAGGTTTCATAAATGTCACTTGTGCCCTTGGGTCATATCACGTCACATGACAACAGTAAAATGTTTCTGTCATCTGGACAGCATTGTTGACGTCATTCGAATCTTGTTGTGACATGAGGTCGGATTGACATTCGAATCCTGGTTCGCCCCGATTATGTTTCTAGGTTTGTCAGCACCATACCCGTTGTTGGTTTTCGTCGAAGTGGTAAATGTCTGAGACCTGCATCACTTCGGGCTTTCCTCCCACATTAAGCTGACACGCCGTGATATAACTGTAATACTGTTGAAAGCGGCGTTAAACACAATTCACTCACTCACTCACCAGTTCTGTCCCTTGGTCCTGGCACAGCAACTGTCGACTGCACACCCCAGTGCAGCTAGTAGATGTTTGTTCCCACTCCTGTTTTTTGGTTCTACATATCGTGTATATACAGAAAAAATCCTGGAACTTTAGCTCCTGTGTTTATTGTATTTTATTGGTTGGGTTCCCGTACTGAGTACCCGGTCGGAGGGTGGATTATCTAGTCTGTGGAGACTTACGTCTTCAACATCGAAGTCACGGCAAGGCCTGGCCGCATCGACTGTGGTCGAATCCCAAAACTCGCTCCTATGTCTTCACTCGTCAGATAACAGAAATATTCACTCATTTCATAAAATTGGTATTACACGGGAGGGAGTTTAGTATTCTGTATTGATGTAATTGTGTGTGATTATGTGATCCAGTTAATTGCAATATCATTAAAATCAGACCTTAGTTCTTGCTACCGCTAAACAAAGATCTGAGGACATCCCATTAGGGGTCACGTCAGAATGACCTTTCATCCGACCAATCAGAGCATCGCTTACCAGATAGTGAAAGTGACAGTCGGAATGTGATTTCAAATCATGCAACCTCGAAAACTTTAACTCGGAACGATAGTTTAACGACTGAATCCATACAATCTAGACCATCTATTAGCCATTCCAGAATGTTCTTTTGTTTAGGTTTCAAATTTGTAATTGAGAATTTGTCAAAATATGTTTCGAAGCGTAGTCACCAATTTGAAAGTAGTGCCGTAAAGCATAAGAAAGCTGCCTTCTGATTGGTCATTCCATTGGTCGGTCAAAGTTCGCGCAAGGTTGGTCTGGTGTGACCCGTAATGGGATGTCCTCAGATCTTTGTTTAGCGGTATCGAGAACTGAGATCTGATTTTAATGGGATTGCAATTAATGGGTAGGTTTCTCGACTGGATAAAGCCAACGGATAAAAATGATATCCGTTGGGGTCATATGCGGATAGAGATGCAAATATCAAAGGTCAAGTAGGGACTACTTTCAGTGTTTCAGTCGCCCTTGTCTTTCGGTGATCGAGTCAGAATCAACCATCGGGAATCTGGATAAACTACAGGGATAATTGGTATCATTATCAAAAGAACAGTCTAATATACTGAAAATCAGTGTCTAACTGTGATGTAGCTAAGGCATTTTACAGGTTTTGGCAATTTTGGAGATATAAATTGCGAAACAGTTTTGCGAGGGCACTAGGCCTAGCAAAGTGGGATCAGTAGCCATATCTGTGCTTGTAGACCTCTGCGGCTTGGAACCTTTTCCACAAATTAAAAATAGTTGTATTTGGCCGAAATATGTTGGAATTGTTACCTATTTTGTTTTGGTGCCGTGTGTACTGCACTGACTGCACTTCTTAAAGTTATGAGAGGACAGGCTGACTGTCAACAACGTCTGACCGTGGCCGTGTGACGTCTCATAGACTAGGGTTGGGTAGCTTCTGTTTGACAAAGGGCAGTAACTCTAGCGGACCGACCGATGGACTACCGTGAAATACAAGTAAAACAAGTTGTGTAGGCAGTTGTTGTTTTGCGTACATGTTGTTTTGCCACTGTATAAGAAACAGATTTCAGATGGAACTATTTTGGCTACTGTCACTGTCCAACTGACACATCACTGACCCTGTGACGTAATATATATTAATGCGCACATTCCAGGAAAACTTGCAATGTTTCGGTAATGTTTGTGTGAGATGGAAAGCGATTTTCAAGCACAGAATTGAAGAATGACATTATATGATAAAGAGACCAGGGCTTGCTAAATACAATGTTTATTCCTAATACAGGATATTCACTATCCCCAAACACACTCATTATTTCTTATACAGGATATTTACCTAATACAGGATATTTACCATCCCCAAACACACTCGTTATTCCTAATACAGGATATTTACCATCCCCAAACACACTCGTTATTCCTAATACAGGATATTTACCATCCCCAAACACACTCGCTATTCCTAATACAGGATATTTACCATCCCCAAACACACTCGTTATTCCTAATACAGGATATTTACCATCCCCAAACACACTCGTTATTCCTAATACAGGATATTTACCATCCCCAAACACACTCGTTACTCCTAATACAGGATATTTACCATCCCCAAACACACTTGTTATTCCTAATACAGGATATTTACCATCCCCAAACACACTAGTTATTCCTAATACAGGATATTTACCATCCCCAAGCACACTCGCGTGATACCCTCTATATGTTTACGACACAAGTGTCTTAATTCTGGTATCTCGCGATTACCAGTGTGGAAAACAAAGTATGACATGATCACAAATATAATGTTCTATTTATTACCGAAGAAGATGTCTACATGCAGAGACGAATTTTAGTGTTTACCTATAAGGACAGCAAGTCGCAACAGAAGCGGAACCACAATTTGTCGAATGATGTCAACAATCTTCTGTTCTGACCTTGTTTCTAGTGTGACGTCATTCCAACCTCACATCACAATAAGATTTGAATGACGCCAACAACGCCGTCCGGATGATGGAAACAATACACTGTTGCCTCGTGATGTGATATGACCCAAGGGCACACACGATTTATATGAACCCCGATTTGTTTGTCCTCGTAGGTAATATATAGAGGTTATCACGCCAGGGTGTTTTGGGATGGTAAATATCCTGCATTAGGAATAAACATTGTATTTAGCGAGCTTTGGCGAGCTAAAAACATAGTGTTTATTCCTAATGCAGGATATTTACCATCCCCAAACACACAAGCGTGATAACCTCTTTATCATATAATGTCATTATTTAATTCTGTGCTTCAAAATCGCTTTCACTCTCTCACATACATTACCGAAACAGTTTTCCTGGAATGCGCGCATTAATATTTATTACGTCACAGGGTAAGTGGTGTGTCAGTCGGACAGTGACAGTAGCCAATATAATTCGAACTTAAATCTGTTTCTTACACAGTGGCGAAGTAACATATATGCAAAACAACAATAGTTTTTAATTGCCTTTCGCGGCAATCCATCGGTCTGTCCGCTAGAGTAACTGCCCTTTGTCAAACAGAAGCTACCAAACCCTAGTCTATGAGACGTCACACGGCCACGGTCAGACGATGTTGACAGTCGGTCTGTCCTGTCATAACGTTAAGAAGTGTAATCAGATGTACACACAGCAACAAAACGAAACAAGGTAACAATTCAAACATATTTCGGCCAAATCCAACTATTTTAATTTGTGGAGAAGGTTTCAAGCCGCAGAGGTCTACAAGCACAGATATTGCTACTGATCCCTCTTTGCTAGGCCTCGTGCCCTCGTAAAATTGTTTCGAAATTTATATCTCTAAAGTTGCCCAAACTTATAAAATGCCTTAGCTACATCACAGTTAGACACTGATTTTCAGTATATTAGACTGTTCTTTGATAATGATAGCAATTATCCCTGTAGTTTATCCAGATTCCCGATGGTTAATTCTGACTCAATCGCCGAATGAAGAGGGCGACTCCATGTTTGTTTATAAACAGTGAAAGTAGTCCCTACTTGACCTTTGATATTTGCATCTCTATCCGCATATGACCCCAACGGATATCGTTTTTATCCGTTGGCTTTATTCTGCCGAGAAACCTACCCATTATATGATAAATATCAGTTACCGTAGTAACAGATTGTTTTCATTGCAGGCCTTGAATTTGGTGATCCTCACATTGATTGACTTCTGGCCCAAGAAGGATGACCAGACTGTACTGATTGCGGTATGCTTGTTCTTTAACGTTTTTCCTTAACCACACAAAATTTTATTATATGAGATTCAGTATTCGGTTCCTGTTGTGTTAGATTCATTGTTGACATCCGTCCCTAGCACAGTGTTCATATAAAGCATGAGAATGTTAGATACTAGAATGGTCTCTGTTTCTTTCTTCCTTGCAGAAGTTTCAGTTTTGTGAATGGTCATTGTACATATAATGTTGTTTAGCACCGCACTCAGCAATATTCCATCTATATGACGGCGGTCTGTAAATAATCGTGTCTGGACCAGACAATCCAGTGATTGATATCATGATTTTGTTTGTTTGTTGTTTCACGCCGCACTCAGCAATATTCTAGCTATATGACAGCGGTCTGTAAATAATCGTGTCTGGACCAGACAATCCAGTGATTGATATCATGATTTTGTTTGTTTGTTGTTTCACGCCGCACTCACCAATATTCCAGCTATATGGCGGCGGTCAGTAAATAATCGAGTCTTGACCACATAATCCAGTGATTGATGTCATGAGCATCGATCCACGCAATTGGGATACGATGACATGCATCAACCTAGTCAGCGAGTGCAACCACCCGATCTCGATAGTCGCCTCTTATGGCAAGCATGGGTTGCTGAAGCCCAATTCAAACCCGGATCTTCACAGGTTCAAATTGTGTCCTAAAGCTCTGCTCATGATACAGTGTGTAGAAACATGGGAAAATCTGTTTGTATGGACAAAATGGAGGATGTCACTGTTATATTAATTGACTCAAATCTACTAAATATGTATTTATTGTCTTAATAACTTCCTTTGATGTAGAAAATAAGTTATCATGACAAATGGGATTGGCTGTGTACCGGTATCGTAATGTTGAATGCTGTATGTCTTCAGAGTGCTACATCCATGATATTGCTGCAGGTGTTGAACCTGATCGCACTTGTGTATACTTCAGGTGAGTGTCCGAATGTCAGGCGCTGTCCGCAGTAGGGGCTGTCGGGTAGCCCAGCGGGTTAAGCGTTCGCTCATCACGCCAAAGACCCGGGTTCAATTCCCGACATTGGTACAATGTGTGAAGCCCATTTGTGGTTTCCCCCGCCATGATTTTGGTGGAATATTGCTAAAAGGGGCGTAAAACCTCACTCACTCACTAACTGTCTGCAGTGTTAGCATCAATGATAGAAAGGCTGGGACGGGTAACTCGTGTACTCAGGGTCAGGTGGGTCCTGAGTAGGACCCCGGTACCCACAGGACTATCCGAACCCGAAGTTAGTCACATGATATATTGTTTAATGACAATAACAATAATTGAGTGAGTATGGTTTTACGCCGCTTTTAGCAATATTCCAGGAATATCAGACCGGGGGGACACCAGAAATGGGCTTCACACATTGTACCCATGTCGGGAATCGAACCCGGTCTTTGGAGGGATGGGTTACCCGGTCAGGTCTGGTAGAAGAGGGGTCAGATCCTGGGTAGGTCTGGTAGTAGAGGGGTCAGTTCCTGGGTAGGTCTGGTAGTAGAGGGGTCAGTTCCAGGGTAGGTCTGGTAGTAGAGGGATGGGGTACCTGGGTAGGTCTGGTAGTAGAAGGGTCAGTTCCTGGGTAGGTCTGGTAGTAGAGGGGTAACCCGGGTAGGTCTGGTAGTAGAGGGGTCAGTTCCTGGTTAGGTCTGGTAGTAGAGGGGTCAGTTCCTGGGTAGGTCTGGTAGTAGAGGGGTAACCCGGGTAGGTCTGGTAGTAGAGGGGTCAGTTCCTGGGTAGGTCTGGTAGTAGAGGGGTCAGTTCCTGGGTAAGTCTGGTAGTAGAGGGGTCAGTTCCAGGGTAGGTCTGGTAGTAGAAGGGTCAGTTCCTGGGTAGGTCTGGTAGTAGATGGGTCAGTTCCTGCATGGGTCTGGTAGTAGAGGGGTCAGTTCCTGGGTGGGTCTGGTAGTAGAGGGGTCAGTTCCTGGGTAGGTCTGGTAGTAGAGGGGTCAGTTCCTGGGTAGGTCTGGTAGTAGAGGGGTCAGTTCCTGGGTAGGTCTGGTAGTAGAGGGGTCAGATCCTGGGTAGGTCTGGTAGTAGAGGGGTCAGTTCCTGGGTAGGTCTGGTAGTAGAGGGGTCAGTTCCTGGGTGGGTCTGGTAGTAGAGGGGTCAGTTCCTGGGTATATCTGGTAGTAGAGGGGTCAGTTCCCAGGTAGGTCTGGTAGTAGAGGGATAACCCGGGTAGGTCTGGTAGTAGAGGGGTCAGTTCCTGGGTAGGTCTGGTAGTAGAGGGGTCAGTTCCTGGGTAGGTCTGGTAGTAGAGGTGTCAGTTCCTGGGTAGGTCTGGTAGTAGAGGGGTCAGTTCCTGGGTAGGTCTGGTAGTAGAGGGGTCAGTTCCCGGGTAGGTCTGGTAGTAGAGGGGTAACCCGGGTAGGTCTGGTAGTAGAGGGGTCAGTTCCTGGGTAGGTCTGGTAGTAGAGGGGTCAGTTCCTGGGTGGGTCTGGTAGTAGAGGGGTCAGTTCCTGGGTATATCTGGTAGTAGAGGGGTCAGTTCCTGGATAGGTCTGGTAGTAGAGGGGTCAGTTCCTGGGTAGGTCTGGTAGTAGAGGGGTCAGTTCCCGGGTAGGTCTGGTAGTAGAGGGGTAACCCGGGTAGGTCTGGTAGTAGAGGGGTCAGTTCCTGGGTAGGTCTGGTAGTAGAGGGGTCAGTTCCTGGGTGGGTCTGGTAGTAGAGGGGTCAGTTCCTGGGTATATCTGGTAGTAGAGGGGTCAGTTCCTGGATAGGTCTGGTAGTAGAGGGGTCAGTTCCTGGGTAGGTCTGGTAGTAGAGGGGTCAGTTCCTGGGTGGGTCTGGTAGTAGAGGGGTCAGTTCCTGGGTAGGTCTGGTAGTAGAGGGGTCAGTTCCTGGGTAGGTCTGGTAGTGATTGGGAATGTTGAATTTGTTTTCCAACTAGCAGTATCTTAAAACTTGATAAAACAAGAAGGGAAACGTTTCCCACCTGATTAACTTGACAGGGTTCACATGCCGTGATATTACTGCAACAATTCAAATATGCAATTGCGGAACTCTTTCTTCCAACTCATTTACTGTCTCAGCCTAACTCGATGCCGTTATGTTGGATTCCCTTTAATCTTTAATCCGTTGAATTCCACCCTAGTGGTTTATTGCCAAACTTACCGTACATGACTGTAGATACCGGTAAGCTGAATTTTGAGGAACAGAAAAAAGATTCTGTAGAAAGGGGTATGGGTTGCACTTTCATCAAACTCTTTTTCTGTTGGTGGAAAAACTCGGGTATCGCTTCAGGTGAATGAACACCTCTACAACAAACTTAGTCAATGAAAATGTGAAATTTGTGAGTGAGCATCACTAGACATGATGATTTACCATTTCAGTATTGCTAGGCATTGTTTGATGTGTGTTAATACTTGAAACGTTACTACCATTGTCCCATGGTTTCAGTGTTCTTGGCCAAGTTGTTGACAAGGCGGCGAGTGACCGCCTTCGTCCTGGCACAGAACTACATATCTTCCCTCTTCCTGTTTGCTGGCCTCTACACACTTACCTACAGGCTTCAGGTAGGTGTCTGTCTCACCTACAGGCTTCAGGTAGGTGTCTGTCTCACCCACAGGCTTCAGGTAGGTGTCTGTCTCACCTACAGGCTTCAGGTAGGTGTCTGTCTCACCTACAGGCTTCAGGTAGGTGTCTGTCTCACCTACAGGCTTCAGGTAGGTGTCTGTCTCACCTACAGGCTTCAGGTAGATGTCTGTCTCACCTGCAGGCTTCAGGTAGGTGTCTGTCTCACCTACAGGCTTCAGGTAGATGTCTGTCTCACCTACAGGCTTCAGGTAGGTGTCTGTCTCACCTACAGGCTTCAGGTAGATGTCTGTCTCACCTGCAGGCTTCAGGTAGGTGTGTGTCTCACCCACAGGCTTCAGGTAGGTGTGTGTCTCACCTGCAGGCTTCAGGTAGGTGTCTGTCTCACCTACAGGCTTCAGGTAGGTGTCTGTCTCAGGCAGGTGTCTGTCTCACAGGCTTTAGGTAGGTGTCTGTCTCACCTGCAGGCTTCAGGTAGGTGTCTGTCTCACCTGCAGGCTTCAGGTAGATGTCTGTCTCACCTGCAGGCTTCAGGTAGACGCCTGTCTCACCTACAGGCTTCAGGTAGGTGTCTGTCTCACATGCAGGCTTCAGGTAGGTGTCTGTCTCACCTGCAGGCTTCAGGTAGGTGTCTGTCTCACCTGCAGGCTTCAGGTAGGTGTCTGTCTCACCTGCAGGCTTCAGGTAGATGTCTGTCTCACCTACATGCTTCAGGTAGGTGTCTGTCTCACCTACAGGCTTCAGGTAGGTGTCTGTCTCACCTACAGGCTTCAGGTAGATGTTTGTCTCACCTACAGGCTTCAGGTAGAAGTGTGTCTCACCTGCAGGCTTCAGGTAGGTGTCTGTCTCACCCACAGGCTTCAGGTAGGTGTCTGTCTCACCTGCAGGCTTCAGGTAGGTGTGTGTCTCACCTGCAGGCTTCAGGTAGATGTCTGTCTCACCTACAGGCTTCAGGTAGGTTTGTAAGTCTCACCCGCAGGCTTCAGGTAGGCGTGTTGACTCTACATCCTCTCTCACCATGTGCATGGCGATGAAGGTTAGTGTTTCATTTATCTTCTTGTCAGGTAGGTCAGTGGCGAGAGTGTTAACTTACCTCATGGCAAACCATGTTCAGTTCTGGACTTGGATAAAGTTAGTAAGTCATTTCAAGTTCGTCACAAGCCTAGCGTTTGGGTCTTTCTTTTAGCCTTGAAAAGTGGCTCCAGTTAATGAACCATGATTTGATGGTGTTCTTTTCAAATGTAATTTCAATATTTGTATGACATGTAACTTTTACACCAAATAAATGATCACATAAGGATATTTATGGCCACAGAAGTTTACTTTCATCTGTTTGTTCACATTAAAACAACACTTTGTTTTCTAACTTCGTATTTAATGTTTTTCAGTATGAATTATGAGTAGGTCTGCTATTTTATTGGGTGTTCATCATTGGCCCAGTCCTCTCTGGTGCCCCAATTGGCTATGCAGAGTTACGTCCCTTGGGCACACCAGAAACCTATGATTGTGGGTTCGAATCCCGGTTCACCAAAATCATGGGTTTTAGGTTTCTTTGCACCATACCTGTACTCGTGGGTTTCACCGAAGTGGTAAACGTCTGAGACCTGCATCACTTCAGGCTTTCCTCCCACATTAAGCTGACAAGCCGTAATATTACTGGAATACTGTTCAAAGTGGCGCTAAACCCAACTCACTCGCTCACTATTTTCAGATTGTTTTATATTTCTGTGTCTGGAAGTGTTCCATGTTAACCCTTACCTCTGTTCCCGCAGCCGTCCTCATGGAAGTTTATCCAGGAAGATCTGAACTCTGATCCTGTCTTAGTGGCCGTCCTGTATGCCAAATTCCTCTTCTTCTCCGTTTCCACGGCAACATTATGTGGTAAGCAGACATCATGGGTACATATCTTTAAACAAGGATTAACATCGTCTATTTTCAAGTACAGGGGACTCTAAGCAGTACATGGGGACACAAGGTGTGAATATAGGGTCTAACTATTGTCAAGTTCAGGGACTCTCAGCAGTACATGGGGACACAAGGTGTGAACACAGGGTCTATCTATTTTCAAGTACAGGGGACTCTCAGCAGTACATGGGACACAAGGTGTGAACACAGGGTCTATCTATTTTCAAGTACAGGGACTCTCAGCAGTACATGGGACACAAGGTGTGAACACAGGGTCTATCTATTTTCAAGTACAGGGACTCTCAGCAGTACATGGGACACAAGGTGTGAACATAGGGTCTATCTATTTTCAAGTACAGGGACTCTCAGCAGTACATGGGACACAAGGTGTGAACACAGGGTCTATCTATTTTCAAGTACAGGGGACTCTCAGCAGTACATGGGGACACAAGGCGTGAACACAGGGTCTATCTATTTTCAAGTACAGGGGACTGTCAGCAGTACATGGGGACACAAGGTATGAACACAGGGTCTATCTATTTTCAAGTACAGGGGACTGTCAGCAGTACATGGGACACAAGGTGTGAACATAGGGTCTATCTATTTTCAAGTACAGGGGACTCTCAGCAGTACATGGGGACACAAGGTGTGAACACAGGGTCTATCTATTTTCAAATACAGGGGACTCTCAGCAGTACATGGGACACAAGGTGTGAACACAGGTCTATCTATTTTCAAGTACAGGGGACTCTCAGCAGTACAAGGGGACACAAGGTGTGAACACAGGGTCTATCTATTTTCAAGTACAGGGGACTCTCAGCAGTACAAGGGGACACAAGGTGTGAACACAGGGTCTATCTATTTTCAAATACAGGGGACTCTCAGCAGTACATGGGGACACTAGGTGTGAACACAGGCTCTATCTATTTTCAAGTACAGGGGACTCTCAGCAGTACATGGGGACACAAGGTGTGAACACAGGGTCTATCTATTTTCAAGTACATGGGACTCTCAGCAGTACATGGGGACACTAGGTGTGAACACAGGGTCTATCTATTTTCAAGTGCATGGGACTCTCAGCAGTACATGGGGACACAAGGTGTGAATATAGGGTCTATCTATTTTCAAGTACAGGGGACTCTGAGTAGTACATGGGGGGCACAAGGTGTGAACACAGGGTCTATCTATTTTCAAGTACAGGGGACTCTCAGCAGTACATGGGACACAAGGTGTGAACACAGGGTCTATCTATTTTCAAGTACAGGGGACTCTCAGCAGTACATGGGGACACAAGGCGTGAACACAGGGTCTATCTATTTTCAAGTTCAGGGGACTCTCAGCATTACATGGGGACACAAGGTGTGAACATAGGGTCTATCTATTTTCAAGTACATGGGACTCTCAGCAGTACATGGGGAAACAAGGCGTGAACATAGGGTCTATCTATTTTCAAGTACAGGGGACTCTCAGTAGTACATGGGGGTACAAGGTGTGAACATAGGGTCTATCTATTTTCAAGTTCAGGGGACTCTCAGTAGTACATGGGGGTACAAGGTGTGAACATAGGGTCTATCTATTTTCAAGTACAGGGGACTCTCAGTAGTACATGGGGGTACAAGGTGTGAATATTGGGTCTATCTATTTTCAAGTACAGGGGACTCTCAGTAGTACATGGGACACAAGGTGTGAATATAGGGTCTATCTATTTTCAAGTACAGGGGACTCTCAGCTGTACATGGGGACATAAGGCCTGAATATAGGGTCTATCTATTTTCAAGTACAGGGGACTCTCAGCTGTACCTGGGGACATAAGGCCTGATTATAGGGTCTATCTATTTTCAAGTACAGGGGACTCTCAGCAGTACGTGGGGACACAAGGTGTGAATATAGGGTCTATCTATTTTCAAGTACATGGGACTCTCAGCAGTATATGGGGGCCCAAGGTGTGAACACAGGGTCTATCTATTTTCAAGTACAGGGGACTGTCAGCAGTACATGGGGACACAAGGTGTGAACACAGGGTCTATCTATTTTCAAGTACAGGGAATCAGCAGTATATGGGAGCCCAAGGTGTGAATATAGGGTCTATCTATTTTCAAGTACAGGGGACTCTCAGCAGTACATGGGGGCCCAAGGTGTGAATATAGGCATTGCATGTGGCATGGTATCTGAGTGGGCTCTCGGAGTCAGTAAACAGTGTCTGAGTGGGGTATTCATGTTAAACTGCATCATGGTATCTGAGTGGGCTTTCGGAGTCAGTATACTGTGTCTGACTGGGGTATTCATGTTAAACTGCATCATGGTATCTCAGTGGGCTCTCGGAGTCAGTATACTGTGTCTGAGTGGGGTATCAATGTTAAACTGCGGCATGGTATCTCAGTGGGCTCTCGGAGTCAGTACACTGTGTCTGAGTGGGGTATTCATGTTAAACTGTGGCATGGTATCTCAGTGGGCTCTCGGAGTCAGTATACTGTGTCTGAGTGGGGTATCCATGTTAAACTGCGGCATGGAATCTCAGAGGGCTCTCGGAGTCAGTATACTGTGTCTGAGTGGGGTATTCATGTTAAACTGTGGCATGGTATCTCAGTGGGTTCTCGGAGTCAGTATACTGTGTCTGAGTGGGGTATTCATGTTAAACTGTGGCATGGTATCTCAGTGGGCTCTCAGAGTCAGTACACTGTGTCTGAGTGGGGTATCCATGTTAAACTGCGGCATGGTATCTGAGTGGGCTCTCGGAGTGAGTATACTGTGTCTGAGTGGGGTATTCATGTTAAACTGTGGCATGGTATCTGAGTGGGCTCTCGGAGTCAGTATACTGTGTCTGAGTGGGGTATTCATGTTAAACTGCGGCATGGTATCTCAGTAGGCTCTCGGAGTCAGTATACTGTGTCTGAGTGGGCTATCCATGTTAAACTGTGGCATGGTATCTCAGTAGGCTCTCGGAGTCAGTATACTGTGTCTAAATGGGGTATTCATGTTAAACTGAGGCATGCTATCTGAGTGGGCTCTCAGAGTCAGTACACTGTCTGAGTGGGGTATTCATGTTAAACTGAGGCCTAGTATCTCAGTGGGCTCTCAGAGTCAGTATACTGTGTCTGAGTGGGGTATTCATGTTAAACTGAGGCCTAGTATCTCAGTGGGCTCTAGGAGTCAGTATACTGTGTCTGAGTGGGGTATCCATGTTAAACTGCGGCATGGTATCTCAGAGGGCTCTCGGAGTCAGTATACTGTGTCTGAGTGGGGTGTTCATGTTAAACTGCAGCATGGTATCTCAGTGGGCCCTCGGAGTCAGTATACTGTGTCTGAGTGGGGTATTCATGTTAAACTGCGGCATGGTATCTCCTTGGGCTAGCAGAGTCAGTATACTGTGTCTGAGTGGGGTATTCATATTAAACTGCGACATGGTATCTCAGTGGGCTCTCGGAGTCAGTATACTGTGTCTGAGTGGGGTATTCATGTTAAACTGCGGCATTGTATCTGAGTTGGCTCTCAGAGTCAGTATACTGTGTCTGAGTGGGGTGTTCATGTCAAACTGCGACATGGTATCTCAGTGGGCTCTTGGGGTCAGTATACTGTGTCTGAGTGGGGTATTCATATTAAACTGCGACATGGTATCTCAGTGGGCTCTCGGAGTCAGTATACTGTGTCTGAGTGGGGTATTCATGTTAAACTGCGGCATGGTATCTCAGTAGGCTCTCAGAGTCAGTATACTGTGTCTGAGTGGGGTATTCATAATAAACGGCGACATGGTATCTCAGTGGGCTCTCGGAGTCAGTATACTGTGTCTGAGTGGGGTATTCATGTTAAACTGCGGCATGGTATCTCAGAGGGCTCTAGGAGTCAGTATACTGTGTCTGAGTGGGGTATTCATATTAAACTGCGACATGGTATCTCAGTGGGCTCTCGGAGTCAGTATACTGTGTCTGACTGGGGTATCCATGTCAAACTGCGGCATGGTATCTCAGTGGGCTCTCAGAGTCAGTATACTGTGTCTGAGTGGGGTATCCATGTCAAACTGAGGCATGGTATCTCAGTGGGCTCTCAGAGTCAGTACACTGTCTGAGTGGGGTATTCATGTTAAACTGAGGCCTAGTATCTCAGTGGGCTCTCACAGTCAGTACACTGTCTGAGTGGGGTATTCATGTTAAACTGAGGCCTAGTATCTCAGTGGGCTCTCAGAGTCAGTATACTGTGTCTGAGTGGGGTATCAATGTCAAACTGTGGCATGGTATCTGAGTGGGCTCTCGGAGTCAGTACACTGTCTGAGTGGGGTATCCATGTTAAACTTTGGCATGGTATCTCAGTGGGCTCTCAGAGACAGTATACTGTCTGAGTGGGGTATTCATGTTAAACTGAGGCCTAGTATCTCAGTGGGCTCTCAGAGTCAGTACACTGTCTGACTGGGGTATTCATGTTAAACTGCGGCATGGTATCTCAGTGGGTTCTCGGAGTCAGTATACTGTGTCTGAGTGGGGTATCCATGTTAAACTGCGGCATGGTATCTTAGTGGGCTCTCGGAGTCAGTACACTGTCTGAGTGGGGTATCCATGTTAAACTGTGGCATGGTATCTCAGTGGGCTCTCAGAGTCAGTATACTGTCTGAGTGGGGTATTCATGTTAAACTGAGGCCTAGTATCTCAGTGGGCTCTCAGAGTCAGTACACTGTCTGAGTGGGGTATTCATGTTAAACTGCGGCATGGTATCTCAGTGGGCTCTCAGAGTCAGTATACTGTGTCCGAGTGGGGTATCCATGTCAAACTGTGGCATGGTATCTGAGTGGGCTCTCAGAGTCAGTACACTGTCTGAGTGGGGTATCCATGTCAAACTGCGGCATGGTATCTCAGTGGGCTCTCAGAGTCAGTATACTGTGTCTGAGTTGGGTATTCATATTAAACTGCGGCATGGTATCTCAGTGGGCTGGTACAAACAGCCACAGGTTGCTAAATAATCTTCAACTTGATGTAAAAACCAAATTGACATCACCTCGCCATGTTTTCAGGATCTGACAATGCTCTGCCCAAGGACTGGTACAACTGTCTTTTTGCTGCAGCTCAGGTACGTCGCACCCTGCTCAAATATACATGCATCGATTGATTGGTTATTGATAGTTTTCAGGGATGTAATAGAATGAAGAAGAGTGATCAACACGCTTAGGGACATCTTTACCTTTTGATTTTATACAATCACTGATCACTGTCATATAGCTGGAATATTGCTGAGTGCGGCGTTAAACAACCAACCAACCAACCAACATTGCAATTATCACTTAATTAGTATAGTAACAATGTCAGAGGGAAGTTAGGTGCATTTCTGTTAATCTGTTACACCAAACCAATAGTAGTGGTGGGATACACTAATGCATCAGTGGATCGCGATTGTGTACTCGATACAAGTACCGATCACTATCGCACACTAAGTAAAAGTATTGATTCTTACCTTAAATTTACTCTTTAATAAATGTTACGCTTAACACTAATTACTAGTGAAAATGAATAGTGAAAACGTCAGTATTTTCATCCATTGCGCCATACTTGACACTGCCGAGTGTAAATCGTTAGTGTGCCAGGTATTTGGCCATCCTGTCTATGAAAAAGATGGCTTACGCACCACAGATAAGAGCACATGTATCATGATACATACCGAATCGTGAGCAAGGTATCGTGATACGTATCGGATCGCACAGTTGGTGTATCGTCCCAGCCCCACAAACCAACTTGATCCTGTAACAAAGGTGTCGATGGGAGGGAGCTTAGTGGATATGGTTTGGGGATAGGTTTCTAGTTTCTATAGGTTTCTAGTTTCAAGGTTTCTGGGTTTCTAGTTTCTAGTTTCTAGGTTTCTAATTTCTAGGTTTCTGGGTTTCTAATTTCTAGGTTTCTGGGTTTCTAGGTTTCTAGTTTCTAGTTTCTGGGTTTCTGGGTTTCTAGGTTTCTAGGTTTCTAGGTTTCTAATTTCTTGGTTTCCATGGAAACAGAATTAATTTCAGTTATCTATCGTATGAATTACAGATGTTGCTAAGTTTCGTCTACTTCGCCTCCATTCTGAGTCAGTCCATGACGCCAAAACTTGCCGACATTATTCGGAATACGGAGTCCCTGCCAGGCCCAAGGTCATCCCCAAGGCCAAGGTCATCCCTGTCCGGACGGAGAAACCATGGTTCTTTCGGCAGTCGAGAAAGTGTGGATCGCCAATACTCAATCAGTGAGTACCTCTTGTAAACCTATCGCGAATATTGTCCATTAGCTTGGCCGGTACTTTTATTTTGGTAATAACCTCTTAGGCTAAAAAATAATAGTCTTGGCTCTGAAGGCACTGCCCGCATCATCATAAAGTCTGCCGCAGGTTTCGTTTTTGTTTCCATTTTCCAAAACATGAAAAAATCCTTATACATTAAAACAATGGGATCCAATATAGCACACAGTTACTTCCCTTTACATGCACACTGCTTTACTGTGCATCTTGTGCACCACTATATCCACACTATATTTTCAAAAGTCATTGCCTGAGAACCAATTCTTATATTTTTTTAGCCTATGGTGACTAGGAACGTGTGGAAGCCTCTAACGACACTTAACCGCCTCCGTGGTCTTGTTGTAGAGCGTCCGCCCAGAGAGCGGAAGGTCCGGAGTTCGATCCCCGGCCGCGTCATACCAAAAGACGTTAAAAGACGGTACTTGTTACCCTGTCTGGCGCTCGGCATTAAGGGGCTAAAACAAGGGCTGGTCGGCTCGGAGTCAGTATACTGTGTCTGAGTGGGGTATTCATGTTAAACTGCGGCATGGTATCTCAGTGAGCTAGCACTATAAATCGGCATCAGTCCGGACTAGTACAAGCAGCCACACACACACGTGCATGCACGTCGCTATATATGTGCAATAATCTTGGACGCGACGTTAAACCCCATTTCACCTCACATCTAACGGCACTTACAGTTAGAAACTGCTCAAATTGACCATGCATTATGAAAGAACTGTTATACATTTGTGCACAAACATCTAAAACTGTAACTCAGTTTAAGCCAAGTTTAAGCTTTAAAACATCTCATCCCTCTGTTTTAAGTGCATTGACTACGAGAAGAGAGGGTTTTAATACATGCATTCCTGGTATGGGTCATCTGAGACCTTAGGTTCTCTCACACCCATTGCTAGTTATCAAATGCTCCACAGTTTGCTCCGTAGAGTTGCTTCCCTTAGGCATGCAAGAATCCTATGATCAAATCCCGGTTTCTTGAGTGAGTGAGTGAGTGAGTGAGTGAGTTGGGTTTAACGCCGCTTTTAACAGTATTCCAGTTATATCGCGGCGTGTCAGCTTAATGTGGGAGGAAAGCCCGAATGATGCAGGTCTCAGACGTTTACCACTGCGGTGAAACCCACGAGCACGGGTATGGTGCTGACAAACCTAGAAACATAATCAGGGTGAACCAGGATTCGAACCCACAATCATAGGTTTCTGGCGTGCCCAAAGGATGCAACTCTGCACAGCGAATCGCGGCGCCTAAGACGACTGGGCCACCCGTGCCCCCCCTTGTCTTTTTGGACCTACCTCCCACATTGAGCTGTCACAGGCACCAGTTGGGAAACCTATGAAGATCCAGATTACAACTGGTCCTTAGCAACCCATGCTTGTCACAAGACACGACTATATGGATCAGGTGGTCAGATTTGCTGACTTTGTTCATTGTCATTGTATCCAAATGCATAGATCAATGCTCATGATGTCAATCACTGGATTGTCTGGTTCAGACTTGATTATTTACAGATCCAGATATAGCTGGAATATTGCTGAGTGCGGCGTTAAACAACAAACAAACAAAAGTTTGGAATCAGGAAACTTCATTTGTCTGCCACGTCTTGTCAAGTTGTATACATAGCACTGACTTGGCACACATATGCCGACAACGAGTATTGTTACATAAACACGCTACGTCAATCTTTCTTGTCAACTACAACAACACATGCATCGATAGAAGCACTGACGTGCGTGAAAGGTTCCAGATTTACAGTATATCAGAGTTATCTCCCTTCTCAACTCTCTCAGCAAGCTCCTCACAGTGATATCCTGTTTGTGGAGCTCTCAATACTATATGGTCTCCAGTCGCAGCTCCCCATTGCTAGAATGTCTACAACCACACTTAGGCTTGAACTCACGAACACTTGATGTGCGAAGTAAAACAACAAACAAACAAACAAACAAACAAACTCTACTTGACATGCCACTTCCTGTGTTTCAGATGACAACCATGTGGTGAACGTTGATGACGAAATGATCACGTGACAGGGCGTGAGTCACGGACAAGAGACATCACCTGTGTTCATCTAGTCATGACGTACAGACACTCCATTCTACAACTATCTAGTGCTGCTAGTGTCTTTCTAGCCAGAACAAAACGGGGCTTGCTGTTAGTCCAACTCATGCAAACATTCTGTGCGTGCACTGGCACATCTAGGGGTGGGGAGGGGGGGGTTGGACCCTTTTGTTTCAGTGTGCTTTCTTAACAGCCTGTGACATCCCTCTTGCATATGTTTTTGTTCATTTTGTGTCTCATCAATATTCCATGGGTGTGTATACAATACATTCCTCTATCTGATAATGCCAATTTGCAATGTAGTCGCTGTTTTTAACTACGAAATCAAACAATGGAATTGAGTGAGTGAGTATGATTTTACGCCGCTTTTAGCAATATTCCAGCCATATCACAGCTGGGGACACCAGAAATGGGCTTCACACATTGTACCCATGTCGGGAATCGAACCCGGGTCTTCGGCGTGACGAGCGAACGCTTTAACCACTAGGCTACCCTACCGCCCCTCAAGCAATGGAAAGAAAACCAGTGCATGCAGACCAATGAGAATTCAGTTTACATCACCAAACGGTAATGATTTTTGCTCGACGTGTGTTCAACTTGTGCCAAAGCCTTGTGGTATCTGATCTACACATTGCTTGATTATCAGGCAGTAGGGCTGGGACGGGTAACTCAGGTACCCAGGTCGGGTGGGTACTGAGTAGGACCCGGGACTACCCAGACCTGTGGTTAGTCACGTGATTATATTGTTAAATGGCAAAAATTATCTAGAACTCTATGGTTACACTATAAGTGATAAATGTTTGCATCTCTTTCTGACTATGCACACATTCCTTCTGACTTCATATGTTTGCATGATGATAAAACTTCAGTCAACTTCAGTGTATGCATGACCAGATCATTTTATACGTGTCTCTAAATTTATTTTGACAGGAGTATGGTCATGCATTTCCTAATCGAACATTTTGTACCTATCTCTTGAGACATACAGCATTTACCTGGGTAGGGTAGGGTAGGGTAATAGGGGGGTGGGTACCCGGGTAGGGTCTGGTAATAGGGGGGGGGGGGGGGGGGGGGGGGGGGGTACCCGGGTAGGGTCTGGTAATAGGGGGGGGGGTACCCGGGTAGGGTCTGGTAATAGAGGGGTAGGTACCCGGGTAGGGTCTGGTAATAGGGGGGTGGGTACCCGGGTAGGGTCTGGTAATAGAGGGGTGGGTACCCGGGTAGGGTCTGGTAATAGGGGGGTGGGTACCCGGGTAGTAAATTTGGACTTGTTCCAGCCCTATCAGGCAGTGTGTGCACAAAGTTCCTGCACGGAGTAGGGCTCATTGGACTTTCACTGGACTGCCATGAGTTAACACAGCCTCATTCTATTACAGGGTTTTACCTTGACGTACGAAAGTTGGTCGGATCATATTCTTTTTTACATCCGATCTTTGTGCATTGTTTCAAACCCTGTATTAGTTGACTAAAAATAGACACACATCAAAACGACACGCAAAGCTGCTATATATATTCACACATGATGTAGGAATGTAGTGTATACAAACCCGTGAAGTATTGACGATGTTTGTGTCTTTGGCTGTGTACATGCTTATCCACAATTCTGAATCTACCTTAGGTGAGCTGTGCTGTATCTTAGCCATGGCTGTTTTATCCAGTGATATTTGTTTTGTTTTATATGAGTCGTCCAGACACATCATTGCTCTTTAGAAATCCAGTTGTGTGATTGGCCCTTGGTGTGAAAGCCAGTCCCAGTCAGGTTGTCGGCCTGTATTGACAACATGACGTGTCACGACGTCATGCCCACTGCTTCCCAGGGTGCATCTTGTGCCACATCAAAACAGTGAGTGAGTGAGTGAGTATGGTTTTACGCTGTTTTTAGCAATATTCCAGCAACATCACGGCAGAGGACACCAGAAATGGGCTTCACATGTTGTACCCATGTTGGAAATCAAACAAGGGCCTTCGGCGTGACGAGCGAACGCTCTAACCACTAGGCTACCCGACCGCCCGCAGACAGAGAAATGTACGTCGATGCACTTTCAAAATTAACCATGAAAGTCAAGGGGTCTTGTCATTCGCCTAATGTTAAATGTTGAAGAGTTTGGGGTCCCAAGAGTCATAGACCTGGGCTCGATTTAGTGATATAAGACACGCAAAAGTTCAACCTATTATTGCAAAATACAACCTAATATTAATGTACATGCACCAAGTGCACGTCAAAAAGTTTCGAATTTGCATCTTATTGACCCTACCCGTCCACACAAGTCTTAAGTATTTAGAAGGAAGTATATCTGTGTAGCTTGTGAACTGATAATGATTTTGGCGCTATTTGTAGATCAGCTGAACCAGAGGTGCATATCAGCTTATGTAAGCGACAGGTCATTTATTACAGGGGTGGGGGTTCTGGTGACATTGAGGGGTGCATGAAAAAATGACACAGCTAAAGAGGGGGTCGGCCAAACTATGGGAGGAGGGGGTTTCTATTTTTTAAATAAATAATAAGGGGGGACTGCCACACCAACATTCAGGAATCACACTGTTTTCCTATAGATGGATGTTTTATCATTGTGGAAGTATTAGAAAAAGTTATAAACTATTAATTATGTTTTTATTAAAAACTGTGAACATGGCAAGTGATTTTCCTGTGGGTGAGCAAGGGCGGATCCAGCATTTTTAAAATGGGGGGGGGGTGGAAATATCAAATTCCTCCCTCTAGATAACTTTACTGCCTACAACAAATTTTGTTTTCAAAAGTGTGTGAAGGCGGGGGTGGGGGGGTGTCCAGACCCCAGGGCCCCCCTTTTGGATCCGCCTATGGTGAGTTGGTGAGTTTGGGGTTTACGTGACTGATCGGTTGTTCGATCCCCGTCCTCGTCATTCCAAAGGACGTAAAAAGTTGGCACTTGTTGTTGACCAGCCTGGCGCTTGGCATTAGGTAAAAAACGAGGACTGGTCGGCCCGCAGTGTCGGTATACCTTAAAGCCTGTTTCACCTCTACTCGTAGTAGACAGTTTCCATTAGAGTTGTGTGTATATATCTACAGGTGTTACGGAACCAATATACCCGAGTTGTGTTCAGAGAATGTTTTTGTCTTGTATTCAAGATGTCATGAAATCCAGCTACATACTGACACACTTTCAAAATGCATAGTCAATTTTTTGTAATACCGTATTTTCTTGAGTATAGTGCGCACGTTTTTAAAAAAAACCCAACACAGCTGTGTAGAAGCGGATGCGCATTATACACGCCATGATGAGTTTTGATGCTTTTTTTCCTCCATCGCAAAGACATTACCATGAACACATAACACATGTCATGTAATCCATACTTGGCAAAATTGCTACAAAAATCGTATTAAGTTGTTCTGGGTATTTAGGCATGTTATGATCTCACACAATTATGTCTCATTTGATATGGCGCCATAGACGTGAGCACAAAGGACATATTTTCTGATTTAAAGTTGATTCTGCATTTTTTTTGTGTTTCAGTATACTAACTGCTGCAGTATTCAAAGATGTTCTTGGCTTTATTATCTGCATGTTAGTCATATATGTCATATAATGGTCTGGTTCCTTGGACTGTTCCGAATAAATATTTTGAATAATCAGTATCAGTAATCGAAGAGGTTACTATGCTTGTCGTAAGAGGCGACTAACGGGATTGGGTAGTCAGGCTCGCTGACTTGGTTGATGCATATCATCAATCCCAATTGCATGGATCGATGCTCATGATGTCAATCACTGGATTGTCTGGTCCAGACTCGATTATTTACAGACCGCCATCATATAGCTGGAATATTGCTGAGTGTGGCGTTAAACAACAACAACAAACAAACAGACAAAAAATGTCATCGAAGAATGAAAGTCAGGGGTTCAAGTGTCGGTTCCTAACAAAGGGGGGTAACTTTAAATATTTATCTGAGGTGTGAGAATGGTGATATACTGTTTCACGATGTTGGTCCAGTGTCTACAAAACACAGAATATGTTACTTTCATGAATACACAGACCACTTCACCATTCTCATCTTATTCCAGTGATTAATTACTTCATCAAAGATGTCTGTACTGAAGTCATACAATGGTACGCTATAGCAGACACATTGAGCCAGTTAGTTTTTGACCATTTTAACTATTTTTATAAAGAACAGTATATTTTAGTGGTTTTATTTGGTCCATTTGCCAATAGGAAGGAGGCAGAATTAATTAAAGACATACATGTATGTTGTCATTGTTGACTTGAGGTTATTAATTTTCTAAACTGAACTGTTGATATTAGTTAAACCATGGACACATTAACACTTAATAATCTATATTAAGGGCCCATGGTTAAACAAAATGTCTGTTTGATTGGCTTTCTAGAGGTTGTTTAATAAATAAACAACTCGTGGTCGTTGTTTATCGTACAATACAACACTGCAGGGAGAATAAACCGTGAGGGGAGTGCAGATGTATACTTCGTATAATAATATCAACATTAGGTGCAGCCTCTTTAATGATGTTGATAAAATATGCAAGCTTTTAGAAATAGTTACCTTACTTTTAATAATGATGACTCCTTGAATAGAATCCGACCTCGGCAATGTCGAAACACGTCCATTTTAGGAACAGGTAGGTTAAGTTTGGTATTTCCCACATATTCTTGCAATCCTCTCGTCGATTATTTGTACCCTTTCTCCATATACCGATTGTCGTATCTCTCCCACTTTTGGATGGAATCGTTCGGCCATCGCGTTTATCTGCATACCCCAGCTACTTCTACAGGGAACAACTCACTTGACACTTCCCTCTCAAAAATAACTTCATCCAAAATATGACGTCATCAAGTTGCAAGTGTAAGCAAGGATTATATCCTACCTAAAAGTTATCATGGGGAAAGTTTTACTCTAGAGTGTAGTATAGGATAGGATTAAACACACTGGTATGGGTTCAAATTCACTAGGGAGAATCATCCTGACCCTAGAGAATTTCATCCCCGGGATAAACAAATAGGGTAGGATAATACTCACTCTTACACAAGCACATATTCGAATCTCCAGAAATGACGTCCTAATAGAACAATGTTTTATCGTTGACTATACAACGCTTCGTTCTTCATTGCTCTTTGTGATTTATCGCGTAGCTATCTTATATAAGTAAAAAAGAAAAACAT